ACATTTTTGAAGGTTATTTTGAAGAACAGTCAAGTTTTGTAGATGGAACAACATTCTTGGTTCCCAGTCAGTTTGCTATTTGTTCTGTGACCTGTGGCTCTTTTAAAGCCTTAAACTTTCTGCTTATTGCAGTGCTTTTGTGTCTGTTACTTTCAGTTGATTTTTCTTGGTATAAACTGGGTTGATTTTTGAGTGACCCCCCTTTGTTACCAAGGTTGGTAACATCTGCTCAATACTACTAACCTTTGATTTTTAGTTTTTAGACTCAGATTTGGACTCTGAATGGGAGAAGCCTGCGATCATTTCAGCGACGTGGTACCTCCTAAAGGTGTTCATATCAACCAGAAGCCTTTGGTGGTTCCGGACTCTTGAAGCGGAATCCTGATTTGCAAGTAGTGCATTTGCTCAGGCTGCCTTCTTCTAGAAGTTCCTGCTTCCACTGCTGCCATCTCCTGGTCAAAGGTGCCTGCTACATTGAAAGGAATGTGGCTATGAGTTCAGTGTATTTCTTTAGGATGTAGACCCCTCTTTCTTTAACAATTTGTCCCTAACTCCTTTTGTTTCCTGATGAACACAAAGCCACTGTCACAATAAAATTTATATTCATTGGACTGAAAGAGCATTTAAATCTATTGAAGGAATCTGTAACAGAGGGGATGACATAAGACATCTGTAAGAGACTCATAAGCCCCAAACAATTATTTTGACAGACATGGAAAACATTTTTTAACTTGAGATCATGGTCTACCCATATCACCACCTCAATAATTCAACTTCACTAAGTTTCTTATTTCAAATGATTTTTCAAAGCTATCTATTTCCATTATGGTGTGTTAAATTTCATGAGGAGTTCCATAATCAATGCTAATCAATTATTAATTCCTCACCCTGAGAATGTCAACAGGCTTCCCAGAGATGCTGAAAAGTAAATTCTAGATCCAGTTAACTTCCTATTAACCACATAGTACCCTAAGCCATAATTTCAAATAGATGAGGAAAATGATGATAGCCAATGTTATTTTTGACACTGTAAGTTGGAACAACAGAAGAAAACAAGACAGTGCTGCTTGTCTTTTTAAAATTTATAATATAGCATCTATACCTTCAATTAAGATTCTAAACACACTATTTTTATTGATGATTTAGAAGTTATACTGTATAAATTATTCTTGCATGTACTTTGCTTAAAAGATGTAACCATTTAAACAAAACATTTTTCATGTTTGTCATGTCTATATTTGACTTATAACGGTTGAATAGACTTCAAAATGTATTTTTAAAAGGCATTTTCTCTGCAATGGTGTCCTTGGCATACTGCATGCAATTGGAAGAGGGATCTTGAGTTAGACTCCTGCCTTGGTCACTAACTGTGTGATCTTGGAAAAGTCGCTTAACCTCTCTGAGTCTCAGATTCCACATTTGTAAAATTGAGAGCATAAAACTTACTCCTAGGGCTGTTTTTGGTATTGTTAGTATTAAATAATAATGTATGTAAAGTGTTTAGCACTTTTATATCTCACTAAAATGCAGTTGTAGATAGATATATTTTAACTTATAAAATGGAGCCTTTTTTATTCATGTGAGAACACAGACATGAATGTAAATCACTCTTTAAAAATATCTTCTACTTAAACAGCTTGTATACTTTGTCTTCAAGTTTCAGTTGCTACATCTGTAAAATGGGATACAGACATGCCAATAATTAGAATTGTTTTGAGACATAATTGTATGGGTTCTTTAATAATTTGTTAATCTGAGTGCTGCATCATCTGGCTTCTTGATCCCTTGTACCTTATAAAATTAAAACATTTCACCTAAAATACAAACCTCCAATATATTAGAAACTAGGCAGTTTGTTACTCTGGGGTAGATTTTTAAAGAGCTCTATGCTGATGAATAATACAGAATATTTTTCTTTGATGGTTGAACATTTGCAAAAGCAGGATTGTTTGGTAAGCTTGCTGGGCCCTGGCCCCACAGATTTTGAAACGTGTACTATATATAATTCATTGGGGTTCAGAGAAACTATTAACACTTATCATTGCTTTTAGTTGACTATGTCTAGTGGGGTCTGGAACTGTGTTTTTAACGAGTTCTCCAGTGATTCTGATGCAGCGTGTCTAAGGCCCATCGTCTAAGAAACATGCAGGAGCCTCTAACCTGCAGTTTGCACAACTCAGGTATCTGGAACACTTGGGAATTCTAGTTATGGTTTCATCTAAAGCAGATTAATGTCCACTCACATTTGGTATACTGGAGACCTCATTAAGTCTGCATGTCTGTTTGTCACAGTCACAGACTTTGAGAGGAGCTCTAAAAGAAGAGTGGGAGTGTGCAGGCAGGGGTGCTGCCTCCGGCACCTTCCCTTGTTTGCTCTACGCAAGCCATTATTTTTGTACCTGGTAAATGCTTATATAATCCAAAAAACTATGTTTGCAAAATGGACAAGTGGGTTAGAGCAGTCTAAATTCCCTACAGTAAAGATGCATAAAGATAATTCAAGGACAAATACCAACAGAAAATGGCAACACTGATACTTCTAGTCTGAGTTCTTAGCCACAATGTAAGTAAAAGCTAAGTCCATCTAATCAGATCTAACAAGAAGTCTACTCCCCAAATTAGAAAAGATCACAAAGATTATATGAAATATGGATTTACATCCAGTAGAGTTAGTGTTGAAGCTTGCCTGATTTAGGCAAGTATCTTTGTATTTTTGGGTCTTTGAGAGATTAATGATAGTATGAAGCCACCAAACTAGTTAGTTTAAAATGAATTGTTTATAAATTTTAAAGATTTTTTTTTCTTATAGTGTTAAGGGAAGCATTTTTTTGAAAATTGATTCATTTTATCACAACCTTTCAAAATCCACAAATCCCAGTCCTTTGGCCAGCCCAAAGATTTTCCTGCACTCTGAGTTATCTGCTATCTCTTTATTCTCTTCTATTTGAATGTTGCAGAAAAAAAAAATTGTGAAGTAAGCAGGTTTTCAACCTCAAGAATAGATAAGCCATTTTGGGGAGTCATCTCCTCAGAGAGAAAAGGTAAAGGCCTGTATAAAAACGACCGTATCCAAAAATTTAAATGTGTCCACCTTTTTCTAAGGATACAGAGGCAAAGATGGACAGCAGGTCATTGGAAATTTGGGCCTGTAACTCGGGAGCTGAAGAATAGAATAGGAATGAACAACCACTTAACAGCTACTTTATGTATGGTAGTCAGTTATTACATTAATCCTAAAAGGTAAATGCTGTTTTGCAGTTTCTACTTCAGGTCATACTCCAATGCCCATATTTTTTCACTAAATCAAAATGCCTCCTAAATGGAAACCAGGGGAAGAAGGGCAAATCAGGCCTGAAGATAAAGATTAGGGAATGATTCAAAAATATCTTTACAACTCTGGGAGACAGACATGGAAAGACAGGAGTAAGAGAAAAGGGCCAAACACAAAACCTGAAGGATAGCCTGCATTTAATTGTCGAAAGAGGGAGGGAAGCTAGTGGAAAATTCTGAAAATGAGTGATCAGGATGTGTAAAGAGAAATAAGAGAGAGTGGTGTCACCAAGGCTAAGAAATTCAAAAGTTTTAAAAGCTTCAGTATCTTCAAGTAGGATGGATACAGAGATGAAATAATTGAATTTGGCCAACAGGAGGTAAGGGGGTATTTTACACTGTTGTCCAATTTGGTAACCACTAGCCACATGCAGCTATGCAAATTTAAATTAATTAAAACAAACCTCTAAAAATTCAAAATTCAGTTCCTTAGTTGTACCAGCCATACTTGAAATGCTCAAATGCCACATGTGCCCAGTGGCTACCATAGTGGACAACTCATTATAAAACATTTCTATCATCCCAGAAAGTCCTACGAGAACGTTTTTGAACCATCTAGCAATGCAGAAGCAAGACCGCAATGGGGTGACTGAACATGTTTTCCCTTATCCTCTCCTCTGCAATGTCTGGTGGATCTGACCTCTTCTCTTTTGCTATTCAGCTTTAACTTCACTGTCTTTTTCCTGGACTATTGCAGTGGTTGCCTCTCTGCCTCCCAACTTCTTTCTTTCTTCCAACCTATTCTCCATAAAAATCATTCTTCTACTCAGCAACACTCTCTTGTCAGTGCCACTTTTCCTGGCAAGCCAACCATAACTTTTATTGAGAGTCCACTGTGGTGGGGATGTGGATAGGGGCGTTTACCAGCACTACAGGGAAGTCATTTCCTTCCCTGCACTTACATAGCCCATAATCCAATGCAGGCAAAATGATTATAATAGTCACACCCCACAAGTAACATTAGAGCAGGAACAATGGTTAATCATTCCCCTCTCCTGTGTCTTTTTTGATGTTACCAACTCTTTTTCCTTTCTCTCTGCCACTGCTGTGTGCCACTTAACAGTTTGTTACTTTTCATTTTACCACTGCAACAGCCTGTTAAACAGTCTTCTTAGTTTTAGTGTCTCCTCTCACCTTCCAAGAGAAGCTCTGGTCACATTGCTCCATTTCTTCCAGGGACTCCCCTAGGCCTACAAATTGGAACCGTCTTCTATAACCTGGCGTGGCCCACCTTCTCTGTCCTACCTCTTTCAACATTCTTGCACACATCTTCCTGTCACTCTGTGGTACTCACCATTCCTCTGGCACGTTCATGCATATTCACCTCCCTCTCTCTCGCCCATGCGATATCATTTTTCAGACCCCAGGGCCCTCTCCCATTCCTCTAAGATTCAGGAGGAAAGATGCACTAACAGCCCAAGGAGGGGGACATTACTGATGGACCGAGGGACACAAACCTGCTTTACTGTGTCCATTTTGGGTGCTACCTAAAATAAGCTGCACTCGTAACGCTTCCTATGCACCCAAATAAGACAACCGAATTTTCACTGTAACGGAGAAGGGTTTACGGGTCAAAGACTCTCGATAGAGAGTTTTGGAAGGCGAAGAGGATTGTGGGAGCTCCGTTCATCGCCCCACAGGCTCATGGGAAATGTAGTGCAGTTTTCTCCAACATGGCTGCGCCCAGGTGAGGTGACGTGGGAGTGGGTACCCGCCGCAGCTTTCAGGGATAAATTGGAGAAGCTGGTGAAGGCGAGAGCGCCCGCGTGACGAGACCCCAGCCAGAGTTGATGCGGAGGTTTGTGGCACTTCTTACTGGCGGGCATGACTGCAAATCATGGCTTTCTCTTGTCGGCCTTTTCCGGTTGTTATCGGCTCACCCGTTTGGGGCTGAGAACTTAGGGAGAGGAGGCATGTCCGCCAGAAGCGCTCTGGTGGCGTCCCTGGGCAGAAGGGTGTCTGTGCGTTGGGTGGTCCTGCCAATGTTTGAGGGCCACGTGTTTGTGTTTGGTGCGGAGGCCTACGTGTAGGAAAGTTTTCTGTTTCCTTTGGGGACTGGCGGTTGCAGCCTGGGGGATGTTGGCCTGGCAGTTCTTGTGCTTTTCTGACCCGTGCCAATTCAGTGAAGAAAAGGCATTGTTCGTGGTCTGGTACCTCACACAGCTGAATCTTCCTGTGCTCTTCTTATTTGAGTAACCCCAGAGACCTTTGGGCCAATGTCAGCCTCTGGTTTTGATTAAATACCGGGGGTGCCAAAAAAATGTATACAAATGACTTGTATTCATCTTTTGTTATCGGTATATATTGAGTATTACAATTTTAATACAGTTTTTTCCTTTCTTAAAATATGTATACATATTTTTGGCACCCTCTATATTTACTGAGTGGCTGCTGGATGCCAGGCACTCAAATCTGTGCCCTCAAGTAGATGACAGCCTTCTGGGTGAGCCCAACACACAAACACACACAAGTGTAATTACAGTACAATGTGAAAACTGCAGAGATAGAGACACGCACCAGGCATTAATGAAAACACCGAAGAGGGCCACCAAACTCAGAATTGTGAAGAAGAGGTTTAGGAGGCAAGATGGCAGGGTTAGTAAGTTAATAAGTTTAGGCTTGCTCAGTAAACATTTATTGAGTGACTACTAGATGCTAGATCCTGTTTTAGGTGCTGAGTGCTACAGGTGAACAATACAGACAAACCCTACTGTCACAGAGCTTGCTTTCTAGTAAATTAGAGGAGGAAGACAGTAAATAAGCAAATTAATGAGGGCATAAAAATATAGAGTAGGTGTTCAAAGAATTAAAATGGGGTGATATGACCACAGGGTCAATTTTTTTGTAATCGTTTCAAATTTTTTTTCTTTTTAAATAGGTGATGCAATTTGAATAGCTACTAGATTCAGAAGTTACAGAAGAGGAATGCTAACTTTCATTCCTGTACCAATCTACCCATTTCCCCTTCCTGGAGACAACCCATATCACTAATTTCTTGTGTGTCCTAGAGATTTATATGTATACTCTGTATACCTGTGCTGTACTTTATAATCAGGCCTCATTTGATAGGAATTTAAGTTCCTTCTCATTTTTGCTATTAAGTATAATTTACATACAAGCACAGGAACATTTGTTTATACTGCTTGGTTCATTATAGGCACCTGTTGTTTAAGGAGGTTATGAACACACATACTACTAGTACCACTTAGGTCAATAACCAATTGGATATGTTGGGGTTAAACTTACTCGCAAAACATGTGTGATCTCTAAACTCTTGTTATCCTACAGAGAATGTGCTTAGGCCTGACATGATTAGACTTGACTCAGCTTGGCTAGTATTCTAGTAAATAGTGACCTCACTCCTGTAACATCTCATAATATTTCCATAACATGGCAAGGAGCATCCAAGCCTTTGTGCAATAGTGAAAATTCCTTGGCCAGGGAAGTGGCCTTGTTAGAAAGGAAGCACCTCCAGACCTCAGCAGCTGGTATCACCCTTGTTGAGGTGATTCAGACCTGCTGGGCCAGTGCATTGCCAAGTCTCTGGAATGGGGGACAAATGAGCCTCCAGAGCTATGTGGACTTGTGTTTCTTCACATGATACTGTGTGCCTGACGGAAGGAGAAGAGAAGGGTAATGATAGAAATGTGATTATGAGGCTCCATCTACTGGTGCTGGACTTAGTATCATACTTGTAAAACGATGTATTCAACATCTTTTCTTTCTCATTTCTTCTACTTTGTAGCCTTTGCTCGTGTGACATATTAAGAAACACATTCTTAGCTCTTTCATCCCTTGTTCTCCATTGCATACTGCAAAGATGCCGTTCCAAAGATAATGACCTTGGAATAGAATGGCAGTAAGATAGTTTCTTTGAGAGCCCTTAGCTTTTCTTTAATTAAACCATTCTGATCAGACTCTTCTGGAAATTAACACTACATTTAGTAATAGATGTATTTAATCCTTTTAACAAAATTAGGAGATTGTGTCAGATTAATGCAGGTGGACATTAGTTAAAGCAGTGAAAGCAGATTTTATTTAGTAATACTGATAGAAGGGGAAAGAGCTGCAGAAGTGATTTGGGTGGTTTTTTTTAAAAGATTTTTATTGGGGAATTGGGGGGATGGGAACAGTGCTGGGGAATTGGGGAAAGGGGAACAGACAAGTTGCTGCCATTTTGTTCTTCAGTCTAGCTGTGGAGGACGTTGCTTCACTGGCCCAAGTTGGCACCATCATTGCGCTCTTCCCAGGCGAGGCAGATCAGTCGCTGGCTTCTGGACGGCCGCTCACTGCGGCTGCTGGCCGCTCACGCTGGCTGCTGGCCGCTCACGCTGGCTGCTGGCTACACATGGCAGCCCATGGCAACCCACTGCCACAGGGGCTGCAGCCTACGCCGGTGACTCATGGCAGCCCAGCTCCAGGTTGAGCTGTTGTTCAGCATCTTAGCTGTGGAGGGCAGTGTCACTGGCCCTCATATGTGGGATCCGAACCCGAGCCCTCTGGCGTCCCAAGCCTGTTCTTAACCATCGTGCCACTGGGCCGGCCCTGATTTGGGTGTTTTAAAGGGTGAATGAGGAAGGGGTAGGGCGAGGGTCTCAGTCAAGTCAGAGAAGTGAACATTACAAAAGATTGTTGATGCAAATGCAACTAGGCCAGTTGTTAGCTACTGGCAGTTATCAAAGTTTGGATTCTATCTTGCCGCAGAGACTGGGAGATGGAGGCTCTGTCCTTCCCGATGTTTTCATTTTAAAGGAATGGCTCTCAGGTCCTTGAGAGAGACATTTCTAAATTGCAAGAAATACATATTCGTAATTGTAAGCCCTTTTTAATAAATGCTCTAAGAAAGGGAGATAAGAACAAATAGTAAAATTTCTTGGCAGCATTTTGAGTTTTCTCAGGCAGGCATTTTAATGGGTAGTTGGGGACATCCTAGGGATATTGCTTTATGCTTCTAGAAGCCATGCTAGAGTTTGGTCAAGTTTTTTAGTCCAGAGTTTGGATGGAGTTATGTGCCAAGAATAGGCATTATTCCTATTTTATAGGTGAAGAAACCTAAACACAGAAATAAGTAATTACCTCACACAGGATCAGCTACTAAGTGGTAGAGCTGAAATTTGAACTGAGAACCTGGACTCCTAAGCACTGTTATACTGTCTCATAGCATTGAAAAAAAAATACAATTTAATCTCTGTCTTCAAAGAGTTCATAGTCCAGTGGAAGGGGACAAACATTAGAATAAACAATTATAATTAGTGCAATGTTAAAAGTATCCGTTCAGCTCACCCCTTCCTATGTAATGATGACTCTTGAAACTTGCGGACCTCATTCCCTCTCCTTTTAGCAACTTTATATTGTCATCTGCCAGCCAGACATTGCAACTGTGTATCTCACCAGTACTTCAAACATGTTATATCCTAAATCTGAAATCTGACTCTCATTACCACCCTCACTTAGCAATTCTTCCTGACCTTCCTTTACAGTGTTGAAATGACGTCACTAGTCTTTCAGTCACTCAGGCTCTGTACTGTTAGTAAGGGATCTGTGACTCTTCTCCCTCATATCTGGGTAGTCATCAAGGCCTATTGATTGTACCTGAACTTTACTTTTGCCCTCTCCCTTTCTCCCTATGTCCTTTCTTCCTACAGCCTCCTCCCTAGATCAGGCTGGCATTTTTTCTTGCCTCTTTCTTCCCTACTGTGCTGTCGAGCCAGCCTGTTGTACTGGCCTTACCTCCTATCACATGCACCCTGTATGTCAGTTCTTTCAGTAGACTAAGCACTTATTTTTGTATCCATAAAGGTTAGTATGTAGAGTTTTTACTGGTTACGAGCTGTTTTGGTATATGATATTGTAACCGGGGGAAAAAGTGTTCTTGTATGGTCACAGGAAGGAATTCCAGGATGTACCGAATAAGCAACACAAACAAAGCTAAGCAAGCAGTGGATTTATTAAGAGAAAGGAAATAGTACACTCCCAAAATAATGGGAGTGAGCAAGCCAGGAGGAGGGCAGCTATTACAAGTAGCTGTAGCTACAATGATCTCTTCTCCTTGCTCCTTGTTTCCCGCACTTCGTCTTTCCCTTTTCCCCCTCTCCCTCCCCGCAGCCCTCTTCTTTCTGCCGATGGTAACAATTTTATTTAACTTACTAAGTTTATTTCGTTTGCTAACTTTGAAGACTTTTAAGTGGGTGAAGAATGGGGTTGGAGGGCCAGCCAATATTCTCTGCTCTAAAAAATCATGCCTACCTCTTATTGTCTTTGCCAGTCACATCCATTTCTGATTTTAGATCTGCTCTAAATTGACTCACTGAATACCTGCCCTTTCATATGACTATATTTTTCTTGTCCTTCTTGCCTAAGTCCCCTTCTGTTTTGAAGTTCTCCCAAACTTTTCCAGTTTAATATATATTATTTTTTGTTGTCTCTAGTTCGTGTCACAACCTAAAGACATTAACAATTATATAAAGATGTGTCATATTTTTTCATTGTGTAGTGTTTGTTTTCCTCAACTAACTTATAAATTTTTGAAAGCATAAACTGTGTATTGTAGTTGTATGCTGCAGAGTGCTGAGACTATAAATAGGTATTTGTGTATTCTTCCGTTATCATTTATTTACCCCTTCAACAAGTTTTTGAGCACATAGTGTGCTCAATAACTGCTATCGGAGTTAACATCCTGATTGGGGAATTAAACTAATAATGAATCACCATAAATTGTGTCAAATTCTGTGAACAAAATAAAGTAGGCTACTATAATAAAGCATGATGTAGGGTGCTGACTTAGCTATTGTGAAGGCCTCCGGGAAAGCACTCAGTAACTACTTGCTGATTGACATGTTTCAGTAAAATGAAAACACAATTCTATGGGGTTCTTATATCTGTTATTCAAAAAATTATAGATATAAAAATATATAACACATACAGCTTAAAAAAATAATACTTAAAACATCATCCAGCTTAAGAAGTACCTTTAATGATTTTGTGTCACTTTCATATCACGGTCCTCTCTTTCCTCCCAGAAATAACTTCTCTCCTAAACTTTGTGTTTATCATTTCCTTGCTTTTCTTTGCATATATATATATATATATATATATATATATATATATATGATATATGCCTTTTGAGGTTTTTTTTAGTTTTACACTTTGTGTAAATGGAATCATACTGTATATTCTGTGAATGTTTTTTTCTTTCTTAACATTATGTTTGTGACATTTGTGGCACATTTTACCTAGAATTTCATAAGTAAAGGGATATATCATTTATGGGTAAAATAGCTCACTTAATAGAGCTAGAGCATTGGAACGTTTTGTAGAACCCCAAGAGATGCTAGGAGGTGTTCTTGCTTGTTTGTTACCTTTTAAATATTTCTTTATTGTCCATGCATCTGTTTGTTCTCACTTCTCTTGGCAAAAGGTAAAGTAAGCATTTAAAAAAAAGGTGTCAAATAGAAATATTTATAAACTATGGAGTATGTGAATAGCATCATTATAACTGTCCCTCAGGACTCTTAAGGTTGACATTTTGTACTTATTTTGTTTTTCAGTATTGCCATGGATAGCAACCATCAAAGTAATTACAAACTCAGTAAAACTGAGAAGAAGTTCTTAAGGAAACAGATGAAAGCCAGGCATACTTTGCTGAGACATGAAGGCATTGAAACAGTATCCTGTGTCACTCAGGTGACCTAAAACTATTTTTATCCGTTGAATATATTGGGTTGTCAGAAAAGTCATGATGCATTTTTGCAATGAAAAACATAGAAAAAAATACGTCACGACTTTTCCGACAACCCCGTAAATGTATTGCCATGTAACGTGTTGTAGTAATATTTGTTAATTGCTCAGAGAAGAAAGAAGGCTGTAATTGTTTAGTCATGTGCTATATCTATATTAAGTATCCATATGTTAGGAGCTGCTAACCTTCTATTTTGGGACATAGTCTAGCTTAGTTTGAATTTCCATTGATTGTGTTGGTTTAACTATGAGGAAATTGTGGATATGTGTTAATAACAATAACATTGTACAACTATTTACACTTTACAAAGCATACTTATATTCATTATTTAATTCTCTAAAAAATCCTATGAGATAAGTGAGAAAACTAAGGTTTTGAGAGGTTGTAATTGATACAAGGTGGCTGAAACCTAAAGCTACATCTTTTGTATCCTAGTTCAATCTTGTTTCTTTTCTTTGTAACTTCATCTGTATTATAAAGTATTTGATTGTATGCTGTAATATATTTTATGTTTATTGGACCTTATTTACAAAGCCTTTTCATTATCTTATGGCAATAATTAAATTATATATAGGGGACTGTGAGACTTCCTGGGCTATGAATTAGAAAAACTTACTTTTACTCTTAGATTCTCCACTTATTTGGACATGAGCAGTATCCTTTGATCTCAGCTTTCTTCCTTTGTAAGGACATTGTATTGCATACTTTTAAAAATCCCGTTGGATTGTTAGATTAAAAAGAGAACATGTATATGGCAGTACTTACTAGCCATTAAAATACCATATGAATCCCTTCCTTCCTCCTTCCCTCCCTCCATCCCTCCTTCCTTTCTATATTTTTCTGGTTCTAAAGGTACAAGGATAAGAGCAAGAAGGAAGCTTAGCCTTCATCTAACCAAGGACCAAAGACAAACAATTGAGAAGGTGAAGCTGGGATTAAAATTTAGGTCTCTTGACTCTCAGACCAATACTCTTCTCTCATATCATGCTTCTTGCTGTCTTCTGTGCTGCATCATAGTTTAGGAATGAGTTGTCTTTGAGGGAGATTTAAATTTAGCAGGTAAAAGGACTATACTCTTTTTTAAAAAATATTTTCTTAAATATTAATGACTTCAAAGAATTTAAACCAAATTCCTATAAAAAGATTGGAATGGATAATAGATTAGCGTTAATATGTTTGCACACACTTTCTTCCAAGAGCCGCAGAGGCTGTGCAGCATTCAGAAGATTAAACTGACATACCCTCCGTCGTCTCCTCCCAAGTGTAACTTGCTTTTTCTTCCTTACAGAGGTCGTGAAGAGAAGTGGTAATAAAAGAAATGGGCTAAGTTTTTTTGCTGCCTCTGAAGCTTGTTTCTGGTTGGGTCTCTTCTTTCGGATCCCTAGAAGCTTTAATCTTACCTTTGTGGATTCTAAAATGTCAACTTATTTAGGTTTGATATTTTTCTCCATAGTATTTTTAAAGGAAAAGAGTAGAATTATAGAAGGGCCTCCAATTATCTGTTATCTATTTGGGGAGAACAAATGCTTTTTTCACCATGTGTTAGGAATATAGGTACCTTTGTAGAAATTTATAGCCATTGTGAGATTTCTCTAGAGCACTGATCCATAAATTGTCAGAACCGAAGATAACACAAATATTCTGAATTCTCTACTTTATATTACTGGGAAAATTGCTTGGCTGAAAAATTATGAATAAAACAATTATTACATTTAATTATATTGTATAACTCATATGTAATAGTAAATAAATTTCTCCCTTCCATCCCCTACTGAACTTGTTTTTGTGTGGTCTGCTGTTAGGCTTGCCTACAAATCACTTAACGTCTATGAGGACCACTGATACTCCTCAGGTCACACCTCACTGTCTTCCTCAGTTCCTGGATACCATAGTGGAACCTTGTCATTTACAGAATCATTGCAGTGTCTTAGATTTGGGAATATGGAAATGTTTTTGTGACTATGGCTGCACATAACCAAATTATTTTGGTAATTTAATTTGTAAGCCTCACTGAATGAGAGTCAGGGCTAGCCATCTGAGGCTAAATTTTATACCATATTTTAGAGTATTGTATTAGTGTGTTGTTTATTACTTGTATATTTGTATTCATACAAAGTATTGGCTGTCCCATGAAAGAACAGAATTTTGCCTTTCTTATTATCTCATTTTAACAATTCTATTACATTCTTTTAAAACAAGGTTTTAGATATTCCCATTTTGTGTATATGAAACTAATACATTATGTTCTAATCTCTAATTTAGTATAAATCAGGGGCCAGTGAACTACTCTCCTCAGTTCAAATTTGGCTTGTGAGCTAAGAGTGAGTTTTACATTTTTAAAGATTTTTAAATAAAAACAAGATTATGTGACAGATACTTACATGACCTATGAAGCCTAAAATATTTACTATCTGATCCTTTTTAGAAGTTTTCCTTTACCTGGTATAAATGAACTGATGAGAGTAGATCATCAACTTTTACTATGCTACAAAGTTTTTAGGAGGCATGGATCAAAAATTAAAGATCCCAACACCATGTAGAATGTTTTTAAGTATAAAGACTATAAGGGCAGTAGGCCTTGAGCATCAGAATAAAAATAGGAGACCCCCCCCCAAAAAAAACCCTTGAATAAAGTTTAGTGCAAGACTGCAAATGATAAGAAGTAAGCATGAAACTTAAAAAGGAAAACATTGTAATTATAAAATGACTGAATTACTTAGACACAGAGGAAAATTTTATATTCAGTATAACCTGTAATTTGTTTTTCTTTGAGTCCGTACTTTTACTTTTAGTTTTTAGTAAACATTGTATAATGGTTATATCAAAAGTGTGAATTCTAGAAACTGACAAATAGGTTTGAAACCCAGCTCCTAATCACTACCGTAACCTACATTTTCTGATCTTCATTTTCTTCATCGATGAAGTGGGGCTAATATTACCAACTTTGTAGAATTATTGTAAAAATTATTTTCATAAGGGTTAAGTAGGTAAAAATATATAGCAAGCACAGTATCTGGCAAAAAAACAAGTATTAGTAACTAACACCTTGTTCCTTCCTCCTCTCTTCCTCCTGTTTGTTTTTCATTATGTTAAATTTATATTTGAACAGTAAAATATTATCTTTTAATTTGTATGTAGTCATTAAGAAATGAATATTTTACCGAAAAGCCTATTTAAAAATCAGCATTATTTACAACATAGAACTTTTTAATCCCTAAATATTTAGTAAATTGATTTACATAGTTTCTATGAAATTAGAAAACCAAATAACCGCTATAAGGAAACCTTTTTCTCTTTCTCGATTACACCTTTGTAGAAATCTTATTTAAAAATAATCTTATTTTATCTTATTTTCAAATCTTTAAAAATAGGTTGATATCAATTGTTCATGTTTCTTTTGTTTGTTTGTTTGTTTTAAGATCCTGGTTGTTGCCAATGGTGGTTTGGGTAATGGCGTGAGTAGGAACCAACTGCTTCCAGTTTTAGAGAAGTTTGGACAGGTGGATGCTCTCTTAATGCCTCCTAATAAGCCCTACTCATTTGTAAGATACAAAACAATAGCAGAATCCAAGAAAGCCTATGTTACTCTCAACGGAAAAGAAATAGTGGATGATTTAGGACAAAAGATCGTTCTATACTTCAATTTCGTGGAAAAAGGTATTATTATACAGGTATCTTTTAAAAAACAGCTTTTGCTTTTGTTTGAGTTTCCTTTTCATACCTAGGTTGGGAGGTTCAGTTATTGTGAAACAAAATAGGACATCCGTGAAGCAGCCCTTTTTCCTTTAACATTATGTAAGCACCTAGTTGGTGCCAGGCATGGGACGAGTGGTTGAAGAGAGGTAAATTAAGACAGAGCCTGTCTTTAAGGAGCTGATGCCACCAACCTAACAATATATTTATTATGCATGTTATTTTGGAACCCTGCTACCTGTCATTGTGTTTTTCACAATTTAATGTTGAGGATTCAGATCACCAATTTATTTTACGGTATCTACTCAGAAGCTTGTGATTAGTTACTTAAGAATTAATTGTAACCTAAATGATTATGTGCTAAGCTTCATATTTATGGAGGAACCCAACACCTTTAGCCACCAAAGATCCCTAAAGCGTTATAGTGGCGATATCCAGTAGAATTTTCTGTGATGATGGAAATGTTCATATGTTGATATCTGTGCTTCCAACATGATTGTGATTGAGGTACTCATTTTTCAATTTAATTGTATTTAAATTAATGAATTTAACTAATTTAAATAAAAGCTTATTGAGTGATTTACAGAAATATAGGGATTATTACCTCTTTTCACCACTGTCCCATGGAAATGAGATATGTTGAGAGATGAACTTTGATTTAGACATCTAGTCTCTTTCTACTATAATCATCTGCCACCTACTTAGGCAGTTAGAGAATTTTGTTTAAATATCCTATGGGTGGGTAGGTGAGTATAATCTTATCAAATTTATGTTTTTGTAAAATAAGACTCAAAGGAAACTTTTAAAGACTTTTTTAAAGATACATTTTAAAAGTTGTAATTTTTAGTGCTTGTATGTATTTAATTTTAAATCTGATTTAAGCTTTACAGATTATAAAAACTAGATTACCTCCATATTTTATGTTTGTGATCAATTTTGAAAAATGAGTGGTTTAGGAGTAAGTTTTAATCAGAAAATACTGTCCTTAGGTTTTCCCCCATTCAGTATCAGTATATTGAACATTCTTTAAGAAATTGCACAAAGTGAGTTTTGGAGTCATTTTTATTTAAAATCTTACATTAGATCCAGATGTACTTCTAAGATTGTTGCAATCATGTTTGTAACCTTGGAAATCATTTTTAATAGAAATGAGTTAGAGAATAGAATGGAGGATAAAACTGTCACAAATGTTTTGATACTTGCTTTGATATCTACTACTAGATAGCCACTGAATTACAAAGAGATATTTTTAATTCTTTTTAATATATATATATTTAGAAAAACTAAATACTGTAAATTACCTGTTTTTAAGGAACTTTCCCCAAAGTTTTCCTTATATAATCTTAGTAAATAATATAATGCCTGACATATAGTAAGCACTTGGTAAATATCAGATGATTCACTATTTGTATTTCTGAAATATTAATAAAATCCTAGTAGATACTTATTATTTTTGTGGATTTTTACATTAAAGCATCAAAGATGAAACTATTCAACAGAAAAGTTTCAGAAATCATGTCTGTAACAAGAATGATCAGATCTCTAATAGTAAATGTTAATTACACTGTTCCCTTTAATCATAAATTATTTTTTCCTTTTTTTTTTTAGAGCTGTACTTATCTAAAACTTTGAAGGACATGGGCTCTTAAATTATTTTATGCTAAACATATGCTAAATAATTCTTTATACAATAATATTTTTATTTTAGAAAATTTTATGTTATTTTATATTTTTCTATTACTTGACCATAGCTAGTGTCTATGGTCAAAAGTTAGCATTAAATTTTTTGTATTCAGTATTTATAGACAATCTGACTTGTTTATAGAGGGGCATACTATAGATATTATGAGTAACATTTCTTAGTGAGCTTTAAAAATTGGCTTAATCATGATCAAACAGAATATTTAAGTAAATATTATTCTATTTGCTGTTGGTAATTGTGGTGGATAAATTTTTATCTTGGTCTTTAATTTTGCACTTTTAATATGTTTTATGCCTTTTATCATTCTTATTTCTTAAAATGAGATTGGGAGTTTTATGAGCTGATAAATGGCTATTGGACAGAATTTTTTGTATATAGGAACTAAGTTTTGTATGTGACTATTTTAATTTGGTTTCCCACAGCACAATGGAAGGAGTTGGGGCTTCAAGCCTTACCTCCAGGCCTCATGGTAATAGAAGAAATTATTTCTTCTGAGGATGAGAAAATGCTTTTGGAAAATGTTAACTGGACAGAAGATACAGACAATCAAAATTGTAAGTAAAACCTTTAAAATTTGTTATTTAAAAGTTTCTGCAAAATGCCATTACTAACCCTTTTTTCTCTTCCTTTGGTTTATTAAAACTCTGTACCCTCAAAATTACTGAAAGTAGCCTGGATTCAATGTGAGGAAGTCATACCAACAATCCTTAGTAGCATTAATAATAAATAACATTTATATAGCTATCAATTTTAAACTCCAAACTAGTTAATATTTATTAGCCAGCATTTGTAGACCTAACATTTATAAGCCCTTTTATATATATTATCATATTTGATTCTCTCCTCTGTAAGGCAAATTTCCTATGAGGAATCAGCAGTTCACTGCCATACCCTTATTATGTAGTAAGAGTCTCCTGCAGATAGTTGCAAATTAGTTATTCTGACTCTTTCCAGATCATTAGCAGTCTTGTGAGTGGCAGTATACATGTTTAGCACTTTCAGATTGATTGGGTGAATGTTGGTTACAATTTTTAACTAACAAGAACAGCAGATGTGAGGTAGAATGGTGAATTTTATTAAAGACAATTATGTAATAATTAATAAAAGTTGCCATTGCTAAAGCAATTAATCCTTACAATGTTGACTTTGAAATATATGAAGGAATGAAATTCTTTTTTACCCAAATAGTTTGTTTTCTTCTCTTCATACAGTTCAAAAATCGTTAAAACACAGAAGGGTAAAGCATTTTGGTTATGAATTCCACTATGAGAACAACAATGTAGATAAAGATAAACCATTACCTGGAGGTAAGTAATTGTCACCAAATGCTGGTCAGAAAAAAGATTTAATATAATAGAAGTATATCATAGTTGAGGGTTTCATTTGTCATTTGTAGATAAATTTTCAAAACAGTTGATTAAATTTAAAACATTTTAATTAGCTAAATAGTGCAGTTTTGTGTTAAAAAATTTACACATGCAGATAAAGCTAATGTTCCTCTTGAACATTGTCCTGATTTCCATACTTCTTCTTAGAAGTAGTACCATTAACAGTTTAGTATATATTATTCCAATCCTTTATAAAATGAGTTTACATCCAAATATACAATGTCTGACAATTAAGTTTGCAAATTCATCCTAGAAAAAGTGCTACATACCTCATTGCTGAATATCACTACAGTCACCTTCGAAGTACTGCCCTTGGGAAGCTATGCACCGATGCCAGCACCTAGTCCACCCTTCAAAGCAATTTTGGAACTCTTTTTCTGGAATGGCCATCAGGCTGTCATCATATTACCTTTGATGTCCTGAATGTCATAAAAATGTCTTCCTTTCAATATCTTTAGGTAAAGAAAGAAGTCATTAGGGGCCAGATCAGGTTAGAAGGGAGGGTGTTCCAATATAGTTATTTGTTTCCTGATTAAAAACTCCTTCACAGACAGTACCGTGTGAGCTAGTGCATTGTCATGATGCAAGAGCCATGAATTGTGAGCGAAAAGTTCAGGTTGTGTAACTTTTTCATGCAGCCATTTCAGCACTTCCAAATAATAGTAAACTTGGTTAACTGTTTGTCCAGTTGGTACAAATTCATAATGAGTAATCCCTTTGATATCAAAAAAGGTTAGCAACATCGTTGCAACAACTTTGTGAACTTAATTGTCAGACCTCCTAGATGCCTATAGAAGTATATCATTGTTAACATGTATTATTATATAAATTGTATATTCATATACTACATGTATCACTCCAACTTGTTCTTTTCCCTTTATGATATCTTGGAGATCTTATATAGGTTTTCATTTTATTTAATGACAATAATAGCTTATTCAGTTAGTTCCCTTTGGATAGACATTTGGTTATTTCTAGTTTTTAGCTTTTACAAGTAGCACTGCAGTGACTCTCTTTGTATATGCCTCTTACGCACCAAGCAAGAGTGTCTAAAGTAGATTACTAAATTAGAATTGTGTCAAAGTTATGTTCATTTAAAAATGTTAATAGATACTGACAAATTGCTCCCTAAAACAGCATACCAACATATTCTCACCAAGTGTACGTCCCCCATCCCGACCCAATGCACATGAGATATTGTTAAACTTTTAGCTTTATAATTACCTGAGGTTGCCATTTGTATTTCCTTTCCTATGAATTCTTTTTCTTATCCTCTACCAGTTTTTTCTAATGAGATGTCTAATTTATTCATAAGAATTTACTATATAATATGGATATTAATCCTTTGGTAGAATTGTTTGTTGGAGTTTAATTTATCCATATTTTTATGCTTTAGTCTTATATAAAGGTTTCCTTTTTTCATGAAATAGCATTTATGATTCCAATAAAATAAGTTCCACTTTGAAATTTGTTTTTTAAAAACAAATAATTTCAAAAATAAATTGAATAATTTAAAATAAAAAAGAAAATGGTCAGGTTGATTTCCAGTATATAATATAGTAAATTTTATAATTTTACAAAATATCAAAATTATTGTCAGCAAAATTGTTATTTTGGACATCGGATTTAATAAAATCCAATAGAGTAACTTTAAAAGATTCTTAAGGTTTTCTTTTTATTTTACTTTGCTTGTGGGTTTATTGTTATATTTGAATCTGATAACTAAATTAAAAGCTGTGTGATTTATTTCACAGTGACTATTTTTTTATTCTTGGGTAAAACATGCAAAATAAGTATTTCAGTATATTTCACTTTTATGTACCTCAGGTCTTCCTGACATTTGTGATAGCATTTTGGAGAAATGGTTGAAGGAAGGTTTTATTAGATATAAACCTGATCAGTTGACCGTAAACCAGTATGAACCTGGGCATGGTGAGTATTTCTTCTTTTAAAATTTCAGTCATACATTTCATAAGTAAGTAGACAATGTAACTCTCTAAGATTAAAGATATTATTTTTTAGCTCAAACTAACAGTAATTTGCTTATGTTTGTTACCTTTAACCTCTTGCAAATCTACATCAATCTCTTGAGCGACTTGCATCTCAGAGTGTAAACAGATTGACACAATTGCTATTTGTGACTTTTTTTGTTTCTCACTCAAGGTTTTATTTAGAGAGGGAGAAGATTGCTTTAAAAATGTAGGAAACGTATAATGGAAGAAAACAAATAATTTATAGATGCAGGCATACCTTGTTATATTGCGCTTTACTTTATTGCATGTCACAGATGTTGTGTTTTTTACAAATTAAAGGCAATACCCTCCACCAGGAAAAAGATTATAATTCACTTTATTGTGATACTCGCTTTATTGCAGTGATCTGGAATAGAGGTATGCCTGTATAGAGAAGGAGGCTAATTGGTTGGATGATCTTGCTCTTTTTTCTCTCCTGTCTTGAGAATGTGGAAGACAAATCTAGGATGACATGTTAGTGAAAAATCTTTAGGCAATTGATTTTTTGTACTTGTTAGCATCTTCATCTGATATTTGTAATAATCAAATGATCTTAAGAGTTTTATTAATGTCAGGAGTTGTGGGTTTTTTTTCTGCATTTATCACAATGTATTCTATATTATGATTGCTTATTTACCAATCAGCCTTTTCATTGGTCTGTAAGCTTCTTGAGTACAGCGACTATATATCTTACTTGCTTTATCTTTATATACTCTCACCATGTAGCAAAGTTCCTTTCACTAAAGGGACGCTCAGTTAACATAGATTGAGAAATTGGTGGAGGAAACCATATCTTAATTATTTATATGCTTAGTTTTCACAACTGGCTATTGCTTTTGTTCTACAAGTACTTGGGGATCCAGTGTTTAAGGAGAAAAATGAGTTTGTTACTTATCTTCCACATCTTCCTCTTGGGCTGGGATTGAGTAAATGTCCTAGTTAAGCATTCACTCTCAAGTCTTGATTTTAGAATCAAGTCCCAGTGGCACTTTAACATGAAGTTAAGATATTTTTTGGTTCCATTGTGTAATGGTTAGCACTCTGGACTCTGAAGTTAAGATATTTTTAGTGTAGATTTAGTTTAATTTTATTTACTTAGTCACAGACACCCTAAATGTTTACTTTTAACCAAAATTATAGTACATTTCTGATTATCAAACAATGTTTTCACCATAATAGTGTGAGGCTATATTAAGAGTCATCTTAAAGCTACTAAAAGGGAAAATGAAGTAATGTTTTATCCTGTCTTTCATCTTAGGAATTCCTGCTCATATTGACACACATTCTGCTTTTGAGGATGAGATTGTTTCTCTCAGTTTGGGGTCAGAGGTAAATGTTTAGACATTTTTTTTTTTTAAAGATTTTTATTGGGGAATTGGGGGGATGGGAACAGTGCAGGGGAATTGGGGGAAGGGGAACAGACAAGTTGCTGTCGTTTTTTGCTCTTCAATCCAGCTGTGGAGATTGTTGCTTCACTGGCCCAAGTTGGTGTTATCATTGCACTCTTCTCTGGCGAGGCAGATCAGTCGCCGGCTTCTGGACGGCCGCTCACTGCGGCTGCTGGCCGCTCACGCTGGCTGCTGGCCACACACGGTAGCCCATGGCAATCCACTGCCACAGGGACTGCAGCCCACGCCGTCGCCGGCGACTCACGGCAGCCCAGCTCCAGGTTGAGCTGTTGTTCAGCATCCTAGCTGCGGAGGGCAGTGTCATTGGCCCTCATATGTGGGATCCGAACCGGGGCCCTCTGGCATCCCAAGCGAGCTCTCAACCATCGCGCCACTCGGCCGGCCCCTGTTTAGACATTTTTATTAGCTATCAACAAATGTCTTACCTTATACAATGTCCTTTTCATAGGATTTCCCACATTTCTTAATTCAGATGAATTAAGATTTTAAAGTGAAAAGTAAAAGCACCATCAACACTTTTATTTGTTACAGAATGTGAAATTATCACAGCCTCGTCTTTTATGTGTTGAAAGATTTATCTGTGAGGTCATTCGATGCCAGGAAAAGCCCCGTAATTTAATTTTTTACACATTTTACTTTTAGAAGTTTAAAATCCATTCGTCTCTTGGTGCAATAACTTACTGAGGCAGCATTGCCATCTAGTGGCAAAAGATAGTAGCTGCAGGCTATCCAAAAAGGAGACCACTAAAATGTACATGTCTGGCATTTTGATAAATATGTTTTCACATATATTACCTGATTCAGTCCCTTCAAAAACTTTGAGCAATAGAGGGTAATGTCTTCATTTTTACAGATGAGGAATAAGAGGTTCATGTTTATTCATTAACTTGTTTCTATAGCTGCACTTCACTTGATCTGCTAAAGAAGCTATGAAAAGCATGGTTTAAAATGGTCCATGCAAACTGCAGATAGGATTTTAGGTAGAAAATAGAATTTTAAATCTAGAAGAATCCTTAAAATTTGAGGTCATATAATCTAACTAGAGGTTGCTTCAAAATCTGATTTTGTTCTTGAGGCAAATACTATTTACTAGTATGTTTTTGTATTTGTGTAGTCCTATCACTAGGTCTTCAGTGCTTTGACTTTTTAACCTTTTGCTGAGTTTGTGTGACCCATGTTGATACTGTTACTAGACAGTAGTGCTATTTGTTTGGTATTACATGTGTGGATTCTTACTAAGTCCTCTCAAAAATAATGAGGATGGGAAGGAAAAAGAGCTCTTCTCTGTCTGGTTAATTTTCATTTTACCTCTTATCCTGGCTGTAGCTTTAGGGGGCCAGTAAAGAACATCTTTGTCTTTCCCCCCAACAGTGTAACCAGTTGAGAAATGAGAAGAGAGGTAAATGGAGATCACAGTGTTAATTTAACTACTGAGAAAATACGGAAGAACATGGCTTTGGATCTGTAGCCAAGTGGCCTTATTAATACTTTACCTCTGAATTAGAGAGACATACCACTTCTTTTCACTGGCACAGCCAGGCAGCTGGAGACCTCACTCATAGAGCCAGAGGCTGCCCCTATAACATAGGACATGAAGGAGCACGTACTAGGTGCTGCACACCTGCTGGATCTGACAAAGAGAGCGGGCTGGGCCAAGCAAGCTTGGCTTCAGGCTAACCAATCAGCAAAGGCATGCCTTCTCTCCAGAAGAGTTAGAAGTGGAGTAGAGAAAAGTTAGGTGTGTTCTTCCTATACTTGCACTCCTATGTAAATTCCCTCCTCTTCTAGGGAAATATGAAGAATGGGAACTAAGCGTTCTAGCACCTTACAAGGTCATTATGTAGATTTTTAATTAAAAGTTGTAAAGAAGGGAAAACTTGCCCTTTAGTTGAACTGAAAATCTGCTGTAATCATTGTCTCCATTTGGTGTCTCTAGAGGCATGTCATTTTTAGCTGCCAGTTTGAATGATGGAGTTTTTGGTTAAAGCCATCTTTGTAATAGCAGGAAAGCATGCATCTTATAAGTTATGACAAGAACAGTAGATTTTCTTGTAAAAGATAGCTTTTGACGGGAAGTGAATCTTTGTAAATTTTTCTATTTACTAAACATTTAAATTTATTACACTATTTAAAAGTCTACTATATTTGGGGCCCTTTATTCCATCTGTAAAATGAGAATAATAATACCTCTTGCCTGGCTGAAGGATTGTGATGGGAATAAAGTGAGTTAATGAATGTGAAGATGTTTTTCAAACTCAGCAATCCACACATGTAAAGGCTTATTAAGGTATGCTGCTTCTTGGGCTCCTTTTTTGAAAGCTTCACTGTAACAAAGTAACATAGTGAACCAAAATTTTTCAAATTTATTAGTTTTGCCCCTACAACTAGATTGCAATCTCTATAATGCTTTTTTGTCTACAAAAGTATTACAGATACATGTACACATGTTATATGATATGTATATGTTAGGATGCTTTTAGGTGCAAATAACAGCAGAAAACCCAGTTAAAAATAATTATACAACAAAAACAAGTTAATATCCCATATAATAAGATGTTTTAAGAAAGGCTAGTTCCAAAAGTTTTGTTGGTTTAGCTCAATGATTTCATTAAGGAACCAGGTTCTTTCCATCTCAAATGCTCACTACTCCCCTACCTGAGGACTAGTAGCTTCAGGAAATACCCAGCAAGGGATTAGATGCATCAGGACATGTGAGAATAATACAGTTTTTCCAAGTCTGTCTTAATCCTTTGATAATCCAAATTATTTCAGTTTGAAGCACTGATTGTGTATCATTGTTTTATTTTCTCTTTAGTTGTAAAGGTCTTGACTCTGCCAGATCTTCAGATGTTAAATGGCTTTGCTTGTGGTTTAAGTGGTTCTATGACATCCCTTTCATCAACTTCAGGAAGTCTTTTATCTTTTGCAAGAGTTGTTTGTGATTTCAGTTTGTGTTTGCATTGCATTGGCTAATACTTACAGCATCAAGATTCACTGACCAAAGGGGTTACCACAATAGGTAGAGATAGATGCTGGTATCGAACAGAAATACTTGGGCAAGTACTCATTTTATAAGAAGTTGGTTCATCAGTAAATATTTCTTATGGTGACCTTTGCAACCGAGTGGGCTGGGTAATTCCGTATTTGGTTAATGAAATGTCTGTCTATTAAATACCTACTAGAGGGCTACATCTTTTATTATATCACCTCTTCTCTCTGCAGGCTCATGTTTTCAGCAAATTGAGTCCAGCTTGATCTCCTGAAATAGGGTATTGAATAAAGTTGTCTTTTTTGTGTGAAATATCTTGAGCTACCCAATTTCTTTACTGCCAGCCGAATGGATTTATAGCTTCTTTGGTTTTTTTCCAGCCTTGTTTCTGTGTAGTTTGCCCCAGAGATGTTCTGATGCTAGAGCAATTCTCATCACTTCTGTTTGTCGGGAATGATTCACAGGGTACTTCTCTTTTAGGAGTTTATTGCTTTAACGGAAAAATGTTGCATTATTTTCTGATCTGATCTTCAGCACAAACGGGGGAAAAAAGACATTTTCTTTATAAAGCTTAAAACAACAAATACAATCTGGACCCTGGGCATACTGACCTCATCTCCAACCTTAGAGTCAGCCCTCAGCATTTGAATATATAAGCAATATTTACAGCCTCAGAAGCCAAACAATTTCTCCTTCATATTTTTATCTTGATTCTAGGCCCCAGACTTTATTCTTATCTGAGAGTCCTTGGAATATTTACATTCTGCAGTTCTGTCTAATCGATTGTCTCTGCTGTATAGCTCCATTCTCTCTTCTTTCATCCTTTATAGTTTATTTGTGATATTTTTCATCTTCAGTAGTGCCCTTAGCATTATACATTCCTAGTGGGTGTATATTTCTTCTGCATTTGTGTGTGTGTGTGCACTTTGTATGCATAGCCATAGTTACTTCTATAGGCTGTGTGTATTAATGTCGATGGGGAAAGAGAGCATAACTCTGACATGGGATATTTAGTTGCATCATAGTGCAGTTACCATGGCATTGGGCCAAATCTTCATTTTTCTTTTTAGCCAATGTGTCTCTGACATTCAGAACTTCTATGGACAAGTAGATCTGCTGGTTTGTGAGCCAGAAGTACATGTTCTACCTTATTTCATCACGTTCCTTTTTGTACATTGAATTCTGTATTCACTTTTCAGCATTTTCTGTACTAACTAATATTCTGAAGTTCTATTTTTGTGTAATTTTCTCATCTTTCAAGATCTCTTGGAAGCTAAAATTCCCTTTTGTATAAATTAGGCAAATGGGATTCTGCTGACAGTTGTTGAAGTGTACTCTTTATCTGCCTTTACTCAGGCCCCTCCAGTAAGGATAATGGCAGAGAGATAAACCTATTTCAGCCAGCAATCTGCTCAAACAGTCTGTTTCACAGTGTGACATCATAAAATAGAACATTTTGCTTTATTTGGAGCCTTCAGAGTACTGATTCTTCTGTCTTTTTAGTTAGAATTTGTGCATTTACTTTGTAGCAAGATAGCAGCGTATCACTCCAGCTATGTTGTAGAGCTAGAATAAAATTTATAATTTGAATGTAGAAAACTACAGTGGAAGCCCATTTTAGGGGATGCAGTTGGAACCGGTGGTTGGTTGTTAATTGAAAAGTCACTTAAATTGGGGAATAATAATAGTAAAAGATACATACAAATTTCAAACTTTTATTTTAACTTACTTTTAAATTCACTCAGCAGTATTTTGATGTAGGGCCTTTTTGTTGTGGTCCACAATCTGCCTTGTCTTTCCAGTTTCCATTTTTCTTTCAAGTGACAAAAGCTTAAAGACATCTGTGAAACTATCTCAGTGTTTGATGATTTTAAAAAATCTTTTGCCGTACATGCTTCAGAGTTTTTTTTTTCTAATTTTTAATTTTTTTG